GCCGGTAGAAAATGAGGACGGAGCGAAGAGGGTCCCCGATTGTGGAGGCCTTATGTTAAGGACTTTCTGGATATGTCAGAATAATACACTAGAGAGGGGGCAGGATTAGAGAGCAGAGAAAACAGAGATCTACTTAGGAGGTTATTTGATTAGGTCAGATTTGTATAGGTGGTGAGAATGATTTGGGAAATTAAAGATAAAAACAATAGTATTTGTTAATGGACTTGAGTGTATAAGAGAAAGAAGATAAAATATGACTTCAAGGATTTTGACCTATGTCACAGAAAAACCAGAGCTGGAACAGTAGTTAAGGCCGTAAACAGATTTTACTTGGGAACTATTGCAATAGAGGAAAAGAGACCTCAGCATAGAACTGGGCTCAGTTTTGAGTACAGCAAGGAAAAGTGGGAATTTATAACCGAGGAGCAAGGTTGGGCAGGGGCAGGGAGTGGATAGAAAATTATTAACAGAAGATATCAGGAATAAGGGGGGATTCTGGCTAAACCAACCTCACAGGATTCTTGATGAAGGCGGACCAGGGTAATCAGACATTACCAGAGGGGGATAGTGGAGGATGAGGAACCCAATCAGATATCAAGGGTGATCAGATATTGAGGGTGGGGGATTCTGGCTAAATCAACTTAGTGAGATTCTTGCTAAAATTGGGCGATACAAAGAGGTACATGGAAGTCCAAAAGTCAAGGCCTTAACGGGAAGAGGATTCAGAAGAGCCTGACTTGGTCATGGAAACATTCTTTGTCTCCTACACGATTGGTGAATAGCGGTCCTATTTATTTAGATGGGAAAGGAAGGAGCATGAATTTTCCTGGGAAATGGAAGAAAATCAAGAATTCAAGTTGTACATGTTAAGATTATGATATTTTTTAATTCTTTTTAAATTTTTCTTTCTTTTTTTTTTTTAAAGATTTTTTATTGGGGAATTGGGGGGATGGGAACAGTGCTGGGGAGTTGGGGAAAGGGGAACAGACAAGTTGCTGTTGTTTTGTTCCTCAATCTAGTTGTGGAGGATGTCGCTTCACTGGCCCAAGTTGGCACCATCATCGCGCTCTTCTCTGGCGAGGCAGATCAGTCGCCGGCTTCTGGACGGCCGCTCACTGCGGCTGCTGGCCACTCACGCTGGCTGCTGGCCACACAAGGTAGCCCATGGCAACCCACTGCCACAGGGGCTGCAGCCTACGCCGTCGCCGGCGACTCCCGGCAGCCCAGCTCCAGGTTGAGCTGTTGTTCAGCATCTTAGCTGTAGAGGGCAGCGTCACTGGCCCTCATATGTGGGATCCGAACCGGGGCCCTCTGGCATCCCAAGCGAGTTCTTAACCATCGCGCCACTCGGCCGGCCCTTTAAATTTTTCAATTACAGTACACATTCAATATTATATTCATTTCAGGTGTATAGAATAGTGGTTAGATATTTATATAACTTATGAAGTGATCCCCCAATAAGTCTAGTAGCCACCTGGCACTACACATAGTCATTACAACATTATTGACCATACAAGGTCTAACAATTAAGTTCGAGAACTCATCCTAGAAAAAGTGCTACATACCTCATTGATGAATATCATCACAGTCACCTTCAAAGTACTCCCCTTGGGAAGCTATGCACTGGAGCTATGCCAGTGCCTAGTCCACCCTTCAAAGCAATTTTGCAACTCTTTCTGGAATGGTCATCAGAGCTGTCATCATATTACCCTTGATGTCCTGACTGTCATCAAAATGTCTTCCTTTCAATATTTCCTTTATCTTTGGGTAAAGAAAGAAGTCATTGAGGTCCAGAGCAGGTGAGTAGGGAGAGTGTTCCAATACAGTTATTTGTTTACTGGCTAAACGCTCCCTCACAGACAGTGCGGTGTGAGCTGGTGCATTGTCGTGATGCAAGAGCCATGAATTGTTGGCGAAAGTTCAGGTCATTTTTGTCTAACTTTTTCACACAGCCTTTTCAGCACTTCCAAATAGTAAACTTGGCTAACAGTTTGTCCAGTTGGTACAAATTCATAATGAATAATCCCTCTGATATTAAAAAAAGGTTAACAACATCATTTTGACTCTTGATTTGGACTGACAGAACATTTTTGGTTGTGGAGAATTGGCTGACTTCCATTGTGCACTTTGATGCTTTGTTTCAGGGTCGTATTGGTTCACCCATGTTTCCTCACCAGTGATAACACAGCCCAAAACATTGCCTTGCCTTTCCAATTGTCTTGGCAAATTTCGACTCTCCTTTGCTTTTGTTCATTGGTGGGCTTCTTTGGGACCATTTTTGCACATACCTTTCTCATGCCAAGATTTTCAGTTAAGATTTTTCCTGTTTCTCTATCAATGTTTACTTGGTCTGCTATGCTTCTCACAGTCAGTCAACAATTTTGACAAACAATTCGAAAAATTTTTGCAATGTTTTCATCAGGTCTGCTCATTACTGTCAGCCTTGACCTCTTTTCATCGGTGACGTGTTCTCTCCCCTCAGAAAAACCTTTAATCCATTTGTACACTGCCGTTTTCTTCATTTCCCTGATTTCAGTTCCACTCTTGCTAAGTTTAACAAGAAATTTAATGTTTGTTTATTGCTCTAATTCAAGCTCAGACGTTCTCGTGACAGCACAAAAAACACACAACAATAATAAACTCCACTCAGCAAGACACCACCACACATCGACACAGACAGCTGTGAGACATTGATATACCAAGGTTATGAAACCTTACTGAGCTGTTTGTACAGTGCTGCCACTGTAAGCGCATGGTGGCAAGTTTGCAAACTTAATTGTCATACATTGTATGTACAAGCGAGTTAGAGTCTACGCTCAGATAATTTAAAACAAGTTTTTTTCACTCAATGATTATTTAGCAGGACATTCAAAAGTTGGACAGTATTTGGGACTATCTCACACATTGTAGGAAGCTCGCATCTCTGGCCCCTGCCCACTGCTTGCTAGTAGCAACCCCCAGTTATTATGACACCTTCACAAATTTCTAAAGTGTCTCTTGGGGCCAATAAGACTTCAATTGAGTAAAGTACTCCGAAGCTTGGCAAATAGTATTCTTCAAATGGCCAGGAGCAACAGAAGAGTGGTATTTCAGTTGTTTGTTATAAGGGTTCTAGGTAAAAGTCTTGTTTTCCAATTTGCTTCATAATAAAAGTTCATACAGCATAGGAAATTCAGAAGTATTCCCTTTGTTCTTAAGCTTGAAAGCTTTGTTCCACTAATAACAATAAAAGTCATGATGAATACAACATGCAACGATATTTACAAGTATCAAGTGAAAAAGCATGTTGCAAAGTAGTATGTGTAGTATTTCCTCACTTTTACAAAAGCATAGTTTTTTTTTTCTTATTGGGGAACTGGGGGAGGAGAACAGTGTTGGGGAACTGGGGAGGAGAGCCAGCCAATTTGTTGTTCTTCAGTCTTCGTTGTGGAGGGCGCCAGTCGCCATCTGGTTTCCCGTCGGCAGCTCACGGCCTCTAAGCCCAAGGTGCTGTGTTACAATCTTAGTTGCGGATGGATGTAGCCATCATCCCATGCGGGAGTTGAACCAGCATCCTTGTTGTAAAGAGCACATGCTCTATCTACTGAGCCATCCGGGCAGCAGCTCAGCTCAAGATGTCGAGTTCAGTCTTAGTTGCAGGTGGGTGTAGCCTACCATTGAACAGGCAATCTTGTTGTTACACCAGCTGAGCCATCCTGCCACCTGTTGGCAGCTCAGCAGCAGCTCAGCTCAAGTGCAGCATCACTTGCCCATTTGGGAATCTAACCGGCGGCTCTGTTGCTCAGAGTTCGTGGTCTTAAGCCAAATCTTAACCAACTGAGCTACTCGGCCAGTCCCAAAAGTATAGTCTTCAGGTATACATTTTGTAATGATAAAGGCAGTTCTCTCTGGATGATGGGATTATGGTTGCTTTTTATTTCTTTGTGGTTAATGTCTCAAGACAAACTTTTCTCTTTTTGTAAAATTAGAAGATGCTGTAGGATTTCTAATAGTCCCCTATAGCTCCATTATGCTAGCATTATATTTTAGATTATATGTGTGTGTGTGTGTGTGTGCATGATTTTTTTAATTGACTTTTCCCTTTTTTAAGATTTTATTAGGGAATTGGGGGAGGGAACAGCATTGGGGAATCAGGGAAGGGGAACAGACAAGTTGCCGTCCTTTTGTTCTTCAGTCTAGTTGTGGAGGACATCGCTTCACTGGCCCATGTTGGTATTATCATTGCGCTCTTCCCAGGTGAGGCAACATTGCTCGCTGGCCATTGGATGGCCACTCAAGGTGGCTCACGGCAGCTCACGAAAGCTCATGCTGGCTGCTGGCCAGCCCCACTGCAGCCTACACCATCGCCGGTGACTCACAGCAGCCCAGCTCCAGGTCAAGCTGTTGTTCACCATCTTAGCTGTAGAGGGCGCAGCGTCTCTGGCCCTCATGTGGGATCCCAACTGGGGCCCTGCTGCTCAGAGCTTGCGCTCCCAAGCCAACTCTTAACCAACATGCCACTCGGCTGGCCCTAAAATAGATTTTAGATTCAAAATATATACAGGGGCTTCTCTTTAGCCAAGTATCTGTCATTTGAGTCCCTGCTATTACAAGATTGAATATGTAGGTATACTCATTGCTACTGGAATGTTAATACTTCGAGGCTCTCTCAGTGGAGAGAGCCAGGAAATACGGATATGAACACACATACACCTACATACACCTACATATATATGTATGTATATTCACACCACATTTTCCAATTCAGTCCATCACCATAGTGTTTATTTTAGCCTTACATCTTCCAAATAGATTTTGGACTCTCCAGTGCTTTTGGATCATTTCTATACCTGTTCTTTGTTTCAGAGAAATAACAATACCCAAACACATGTGGAGTACATATATGCAACTTAAAAAGCACACAGCTCATTTCCTTTTTACTCAACACAGACTGTTTTCCTTGAGTAATTTTTTCTCCCCCCCCCCCAGGAATTCTATAAATATAATCACAAAGCCATATAGAAATTTGCTAAAATTTTTTTATTGTATTTACCGAGGACATCACATTGTTGCACATAAAATGATCTTATCCTCCCAATGATTACAAAGCTCTTTTGGGTATCTATATTAAACTTCACATTATAAAAATCAATTATAAATTATACTCCTTAAAAAGAAACATAGAATTTTTTAAAGGCACATACTAAAATATTGCATACTAATCAAATCCAGCATAATCATTTCACATGAATATATTTAAACAGCTATTGTGCCAAAAATGACATCCTGTGTAGGTAGAGAGAGAAGCAGAACTACACTGAGGTGTGCAGCGTGCTCTTGGAATAATTTGGTTTTGATACCCAAGATAAAACATGTTTTTCTAACTTTGAAAATATGCAAAATAATTTAAATATTACTTTTCAGATAAACATTAAAATAAGTCAGCCACAACCATAATGCTGGGAGCCCTTGAGAAATCATAGGTCTGAGATTTGCCGACACTGATACAGAGTCCTTACTAATTTAAATCTTTCTGTTAAATCTGAAAGACGAACAATGATACTTTCAGCATGAATTTTTTTTTTAAAGTAGATCATTATCCAGGTTTTAAGATTAATGACTCCCAGAACTCCGATTTCAGCCTGAAAAAATAGCTTAAAATATCTGCTTAAATAGAAGGTTATTTGTGCATGTATAACTATAATATATAATAAAATATACATAATTTTTTGTCACATACCCTCAGAGTTACAGAATACTTTGAATAGCTAACTTTGTGCTAGAAACACTGACCAGGGACTTTTTCTTTAAAGTTACCTTGGGGGCTATGATTATCATTAAGTTTTTATTTGATGATCATTTTCTTGTGAGTTTCATACTTTAAAACCTTATATGTTAACAAAAATTACATACCTCTAAGTAAATATTTGAACTCAATAATTGCTTTATATATGAGGTTTTTCCCCCTCAGATACATATACAAAATGCAACATACATAATACTGCTGGGTCTATACATTTCCTATTGTGTTATATATACTTAAAAGAAAAAATAATTTTGAAGGGAACTTGAAATTTAGCACCAATCTTGATCTAATCTTTCTTTGGTAGGAAAACAAGGCACCAAATACACAGTCTGTTCGTTCAGAACCTGGGGTCAAAATACAGCACTCTTGATAACAAGCTCTCCTTCCCTGAATTAATATTCCTATAACAGCTGAATTATGAAAGACACATTTACCCATTACTTTCTAGCCTATTAGAACATACTATAGAAGACTACATTTAGGGAAGATCACAGTAGAAAAGGTTTATGTTTACACACATTTAAAATATTTGCAAAGTCCACTCTTTTAATAACTGATAGATACTTAAAAGTATTATCCAGTAAAGAATAAGTCATATATATCAGAGTCTCCAAAACAGTATCACATATGAAATTTGATTTCTAAATGTTATTTTATATAGTTCCTATCCCTTACATGCTTGGTGACAGTCAACTCCAAAATACTCTTCTTACAATGGCACTCATATTGAAAGGCTAAAAATATCTTTATAGATTGGGAACTTGCGGGTTAACTCCTACACGATTGCCACACTCAACAACAGCATTTTCAAAAACTCCAGTGAGGCAGAAAAATCATTATCTCTAGGAAAGGGGAGGCTCTTACAGGAGCTTCACATGTCAGCTGTAAGGTTAAGGCACAAGCATACCATCTCTTGTCAGTGATCACCCATCTTCTTGCCAAAGAAAACACAAATAAATGAAAACAAGACCTCATCATTAAGCAGCCAGTATAATTTGAAAAGCCACTGGGAAAGCATTTTAGTAAGTGTTCATTATTATGCATAGATTATAAATTTCTTCAGGTTTTTTCCCCCCCTTTTTTAGATTATCCACAGGCCACATTAGTTAATATTTCTTTTTTGTTCTTTTATAGCCACTTACCAGAACAAAGCACTTAAGCACTTTTACTGATATTTTGACCCCTTAACAACTTGCACTCCCTTGCCTTTTAATCCCTGAAGCGCCATTAGCTTCCTTCTGATCAGACAGGAGTTGATTAAGCAAGGCTTTTAGTGGACACTGAAAGCTGAGGTAGGTGGACTGCCATGATCAAGTGAGTGTCATGGTCAAGTACTTAGAAAGGTTTCATTTCACTCCCCATGTCTTTCCAATATACTAATAAAATATTGACGTCTTCTGTATCCTAAATGAGGTAGCCTCCTATATTATATCAGTCAAGAAAATAGTTCCATGGGGATTTCTGTGAATGTACAGAGGTCAAGGTGATCAATGTTCACGATTTAAAAATTGATAATTTTAAAAAGGACAAACTAAGTAATATAGTCCCCAAATTTCAAGGTTTCTTTGAGTGATTCAAGATGTGGCAATGTATTGTTTCATGAGTCTTTACTGTCTCAGGAATCATCTGATAAAGTCCACATTTAGGATAGTTCAACAATTGTGATTCTAGGTCATATGCAGGTTTTACATTTAGCTACAGGCATTTGGCCCTTTATTCTTGAAAATTGTAACATCACTCTACAGTGTGTTTATAAAACAAAGCATTAGCCTTATTAACAAATAAACAATAAACAAGGCTGTGGCTCTGAAATGATAGCGAGCCCAGGAGCTGTCTGATGCTGTTCCCCACCTTGATTCCCTGAACCATTCTCAGACTTCTCCCTGGATGGTCTTTTTATTGCCCTTACACTAAACCATCAACAAAAGCCAATGAGTGTAATATGAGCAGAATTCATGATGGTCAGTCAAGTAGCAAGCCTTCCTTCTGTGGTGTGTTCTCATTCCACATCGCCATGATGAATGGCAAATTGGTTTTTGTTTTAATTAGAAGGCAAAAAGGTTGTGTTTTTAAGAGTTAATTAAACTATTATCCATGATGAAATTTTCTATTAGCCAAGACACCACTTGTCTTTTAAATTAAAAAATAATATAGATGTAATAGGAAAGTAATAGTTTCACTTCCTCCTACTTTTGACACATTGGAAAAAAGCAACAATCTAACCTAATACAGAAATTGCTCCTTAATGTTTGTTTGTGCTAGCAACAATGACTTTTTTTTTTAGTGTTCAAAATTTCCTAAAGAGTTTAAGTAAGCTTTATATATTTATCTAAATTGTTTCCATATTTAAAAATTGGAGCTAATTAGCTTATCCTTTCCACTTGTACCTCTAGACTCACCACGAAGTGTGACCCAACCTAAGGCAGGTTCGCTAGGAGCTGCTTCCGAGAGGCCCGCTACATCCCAGGGCACCCTCCATGCTGTGCCCTCAGGATTAAGATTTGGCGCAGCTTTAAAGGAATAGGAAAATCAAAGTAAAAAGATTATGCTCCGAAAAATATTTATGCTAAGAACTTGACAGGTTTTTTTTCAAAGCATTTACCTTAAACATTTAAATAAAGTTTTATACATTAGCACAAAAGATGCCAATTATATGAAACTTAGGACCTCTCCTCCAAATTTTCATCATATAATTAAAAACTTTTTTCAGTATAGACCATTAGAACTCTTAAGTTGAAGTCTGAGAGCAAGCCATTCTCCAAGTTATACAAAATTGAATGGGGTTCCACCCTCTGAAACCATAGCGACCAGTAAGTAGCGCAGCTGAACAGCCATTAGAACTAAGGAAGGATGTTAATGGACTCTCGAGCAGATTTTTTAAGAACAGGGGGAAGTAAAGGGAAAAATAATGATAAGGATAAAGATAATATGAAAAAAGTAAATACATATGTTTACTTTCCAACTAAGTGTACATTTACTTTAAAAGTATAAGAAATTGAAGCTAATAGCATTAAAAGTTTCTCTGTACTTGGGCAGAGCCCATGTGATCATCTGCAAACATGTATAAACAGATAATACATGGATCATGAAATGTAAATTTATGAATAGAACTGGAAACAATGCAATCACTATGCAATTTTCAGTGGAAACTACAAGTCCTGTAGTAGGGCTACAGAATAAGCATTGCAACTGTACTCAGAGATTTATAAATGTTGAATAAAGTATCAATAACCTGGGTGGTTTATTACTGAAATGGATAGATCCCAATAATAACCACTGCAATAAAATTTAACCAAAATGTTTCTGGGAGACCACTGCGCCTCAGCTACAAGTGTATCTGATCCAGAGTTGCTGTAAGGAGGAATACTGATTGTTCCCCTTATGTTATTGTTGGCCTCAGATGCCACAACCTTTTGAATGTGAGAATTTGCTGAGTCCTATCAGAAGCAGGATGATGAGATAGAAAGCAGAGTTCTGACTCTATTATTCTTTTCCTCTCAAAAAAAATGTCTGGATTCAACAACAAAAAAAAATTTAGACCCATCAGATCACTTTATTGCAGCAGTAACACCCTGTGCAGGAATTAAAAAGGATTTACTTTGATGAAAAGAAAATATTTTATTGGTCTATAATATTTCTTGGTCTGCAACACATCTTTATGGATATTAGTATTTTTCATTTTCTTAGTTTGTAGAAATTTTAGAACTTTAGACTTATAGAGCTTTTGTACCAAACAACATATTACTAAATATGCATTTTATGGAACTTAGCATTGTACCTTTTATATTTTTCTCTTTAACTTTATCTTATTACAGCACAGTATTCTCCATAGGAGTCTATTACAGTGGAGCTTTTTTGGTGTTATAGATCCTGTTTTATTCATTCCATTGGACTGAAAACTACATATGTGTAATATATGTGTAATATTCTGAGATCTAAGTTTTCTTATAAATACTTAAGTCATGTTGCTCTTTTATTATGGAAACTAACAAAGCAAGATCAAGTCTTTGAGTTTCAGATTATTACCTTTTTTCCCTAAAATCAACCAAATTTTAAAAGAGAAAACACTTTGAAGGTCTTTACAGAGTAAGTATTCTATTTTAGAATTATTCTTTCTGTAAAATCGGGGGTGGGGGAGCCTCAGGAGTCTGTTAAAATGTAAAAAAAAATTTATAATGGCAGGTTTGATGATTGGTCTTAGTTGTATGTTTTTGCTGATCTCAAAAGCACTGATAATAACCAGGAAATAATGTTTTTATAAATGGGCAAGAATAAATGAAGAAGCTGATAATGTATTACATTATCATTTCTAAGTCACTTTCTAAAAGTTTAAAATAAGAACGTGAAAGGGCAGTATGGTCAAATGTAGGGGTGTTTTGTTTTGTTTATTGACCCTTCCAAAAAACAAATTACCTAAGTCTCCTCAGTATGAAATATGGAAATATTGGAAGTAGTAAGTTGCAACTATGTGTATGACATAGTAAGTTGCTGAATGACTTCACAATCAAAATTATTTAAATCCTATTAAAAAAAATTCCACATTTAGTGTTTTCACTTTGAACTTCCAAGGATGCAGATAAGAAAGCTGATACTGAAAGGAAAAGTTACTGGGTTTTCCAGCTGTTTAACTAACAGCCTCACTTCCCTCCAGTCCCCTGCGTGCCACCCCTCACCCTCTACCAACTATAAATTCATATGCTTTCCAAGTATCTTCATCCTTAGCTAGAGACAAGGAATGGAAGGACTTTGCTTTTCAGAAACAACAGAAGCTGAAAAGTAAAGTAGGGAGATAACAGACTAGCTTTCTCTTCTTACAGAGAATTTAGAAACAGATGGATCTTGGAGATGCTTTAGAAAAGGACAAAATTTTCCCCAGGTGAACAAGCTACATTTGAGGAAGAGCTAATATACATCTATATTTAAGATTTAAATATATTTTGCATATTATTAACTATTTAAGACCTAAATAAGAAACAAAAATGTAAAGTATAATTTCAGGGATGAGGAAAGTGTTCCTATTTTTTGTAGATGAGTATGGGTCATGACATGACTTTGGTTTTAATTTTAGGTCCTTAAAACTCTAATAGCTGTCTTACAATTGTAAATGTATGAGCAGACAAAACACTGGGAATGTTATGGGGGGCACACTAGGATAAAAACATATGAATGCAATTTTCTGCCAGAAAGTTTTGGAAATGTAGGAGTTGTTTTTCTTTATAAATGTTTTTAACCTTTCAAGACCCAGTAATTTCCTAAACCAATTTGAGCAACTGTTTCTATCAGAGATAGATATTTTTATCACAAACACAAATATTTCTTTCCCCCGTTTATGCCTGAAACTACAACTTGATAACATGCGCAATAAGACTTAGTTTAAATACCAGGTCCTAGTGCTAACAAATTCAGGAGTTAGAAAAATTTTATGGTAACCTTGCTAGAATATCTTTTATTCATTCTATTTTACTTTACTGTTAGAATTTGGCTACTTGAGCAAAACACACTGCAAACCCAAGGGGAACACACATAAATGGAGGCAATGCCTGATTTTTGAACTGCTCTGCCCTTATGTACAGGATACTTTCCATTTCACGTATTCATTCTGAATACATTGTTAGCATCTGCTCCAACAAAGTCCCTGACACTAGAGCAAGTCAGAACAACTTAATTTCATCACTTATTTAACAGTAAGCAAACAACTTGAACACAGACTTGAGGTTTAGGTAGATCTCACATTATCTAGAATCCAGACTTCAATTTTGTAATAAGTTTCCAAATAGCAGAAGAAATTAAAATAGAGATACCAGAATTAAAAACAAGCATGTGAGACAACAAACAATATTTCCAGTCTTAACCAAATTGCAAATCTTTCAGTATAGCTTGAGGTATTTTTAAATATTTGTAGAAGCTGAATAGCATTCACAGTTTCCAGAGTTGCTTTTTACTGAGATAATTTCAAATTCTCACAACATTTGACTTTCACACATGTTTTCATGTGCCAGTCTCTGCCCTCAGACTCATGGAAATAACAGACAGCTATTAAGTGGCAGAAAATGGTTCTTGTGTAATAAGAGTTCTATTTCCCAATTATGTGCTATTGTTTTCAAGATGTGATTAAAAAAATAAGAAATTTGCAATTCATATAAAAGGAAAGCTTGCTTAAACTTCTGAAAGCAAGTCCAGTTTGGAAGAGGTATGTAAGACATTAAAAGCAGTCAGATTCCTTCTTAAAGATTTCAGGTGAGTTTGACAGCAGAGTGCTCTGGTTCTCCAGCATTTTCTCTGTCTTTTCTCCTCCGGTGGTTTGATGGATCTCTCTTTGCTTCTTACTATGGATCCATGGGATTAAACAAAGGACAGCGCCTCCAATAAGGGGAGGGACTCCAGCGAGGTAGAATGACACATCATAGGAGCCCAGCTTGTCTCGAAGTAACCCTGGGAAGGGAAAGAACTGTCACCAAGAGAGAACGAGTGTGGCTCTTAGGGGTCTCAGATCAGTCGCACTGATGGCCTAGTCCCAACCTAATAACTTCATCTCCACAGGACTAGTTCAAACAACATCTCAGACTATGAGACATTTTTCAGGAAATGTGACTGAAATATAAACTTTTTCTGAAAGGAGGAAGGAAAAGATCTCATATCTTTAATCTTGTCACAGACTACAGGACTCTGGGTTTTCACACCAAGGTATGAATTACATGGAAAGAAAATACTTGCAGCCAAGCTCTGGCTGCCTCGAAACCCTTCAGAGGCCATCTAGGGAATTCCGACACATCAAGGTGGACAAACCACCCAGCTGAAGCTTCTTGTATATACTTACCTCAAAATGCCTACAATTCAAAGCTTTCCTGGGCATATTTTTTAATGAAATAACGTGAAAATATTTAAAATCATAATTCAAAATCACGAAAAATTGTAAATCTAAGTTAGGAAGGAAAAGGTTGTGAAATACATTTTGGAAAGATACTAACGTTTGTCAGCACTTGAGAGGAAAATATGAGAATCTGTGTGGCACTCTTTTTTTTTTTTTTTTTTTTTAAAGATTTTTATTGGGGGAATTGGGGGAATGGGAACAGTGCTGGGGAATTGGGGAAGGGGAACAGACAAGTTCCTATCGTCTTGTTCTTCAGTCTAGTTGTGGAGGACGTTGCTCCACTGGCCCAAGTTGGCACCATCATTGCGCTCTTCTCTGGCGAGGCAGATCAGTCGCCGGCTTCTGGACGGCCGCTCACTGCGGCTGCTGGCCGCTCACGCTGGCTGCTGGCTACACACGGTAGCCCATGGCAACCCACTGCCACAGGGACTGCAGCCTACGCCGTCGCCGGCGACTCATGGCAGCCCAGCTCCAGGTTGAGCTGTTGTTCAGCATCTTAGCTGTGGAGGGCAGCGTCACTGGCCCTCATGTGGGATCCGAACCGGGGCCCTCTGGCATCCCAAGCGAGCTCCCAACCATCGCGCCACTCGGCCGGCCCTGTGTGGCACTCTTAACAGATCCTTGGGCTCTGCTTCTGAAACCATTATTTGGAGTACTCCTTATATCTAATTTCTCTAACAAAATCCAAATTTCCGTAGTTATCGTAGTGTTTTTGAACTTTTGCTAACTTTTACCATACAGCCTCAGTTATCTGAAACGCCCAGGGAGCACACTGTCCTGAACATCTGACTGCTGAGGGTTTGTCCAGTTAAGTACCAATGCGTTAAAGAAGTGCGCATTCCTTATGATAGAAAGCTACAGTGTGCCGTGTGCCTAATGCATGGTTTTCCTTCCTGCTGGATCAGAGTGTCCCACATCCACCTGAACCTTTCATCGTCATGAGCACCAATTACTGTGTTTGGGGGCACTGCCCTCAGACCTGCTGGCGAGCCAGGGGCCTTCTGCAGCCCGTGGCTGTGCTGCTCTGCCTGCTTTGCAAGTTTCCTGTTGCCTCCTTTATTCTTGGCCTGTTATCAGTTACTTCTAGTGGCAAATACCGTTCCTACTAAAGTGCTGCTTGTAGTCTATTGTGGACTTGGAAACCCTTGAAAACTAAGCTTGTGAGGTGTAAAAATAGTATGAATAGTGGGAGAGAGGGGAAGGACCGGAGGATTCTCCTACAAGGAGACTGTGACCTTCAGAACTTAAATTTTATTTGGTCTGCGCAGCAGTGACTGCTTGCTCGATTCATGACTAGGTTCCCAACTGGCAAAGCTGCTAGATAGGTGTGGTTCTGGATCTGAGAAGGAACTAAGCTGAACTTGAACTGAGCTGTTTACGTGCCAGACACAGATAACAGTACATACATTTAAATTTTATCATAATTTTATCAGTTCTTCTTATAATAATTCACATGGGCACCCAAGTAATACTGAACATGAGACATCTTGATACTATCATTCAGAAGATTTCTAAAGGTGAAATTCACATAGTATAAAGTGAACCATTTTAGTGGCATTTAGTATATTTACAATGTTGTGTAACCACCACCTCTATCTAGTTCCAAAACATTTTCATCACACCAGAAGGAAATTCCATATCCATTAAGCAGTTACCCCTTAATCACCCTTCCCTCCAGCCCCTGGCAACCACCCATCTGCTGTCCATCTCTATGGATTTACCTATTCTGGATATTTCACATAAATGGCATCATGCAATATGTGACATTTTGTATTTGGCTTCTCCCACTTAGTATAACGTTCATCCACCTGGTAGCATATTTCAGTTTAGTACTTCATTCCTTTTTATGGCTGAATGATATTCCATTGTATGGATAAACCACATTTTGTTTATTCATCTGCTAATGAACATTTGGGTTGCTTCCACTAAATGTTATTTTTCATTAATTATTTCTCAGGGGAATATGATCTCTTACACAAAGCATACATATTTTGAAATCTTCCAGAATCTTCATCTCTTTTTAAAAAGAAACAATGTTCCCATTCCTCGTACTAAGTAAAATAGAGGAATTGGGAAAGCGTAAAGCCCAGAAGCTTACTGTTACACATTTTATTAAGTGTTTTAGATATCAATAAGGATAAGAGGGACTCCTCAGCACACTTTTTCAACATGGCCATCTACAGCTGGTCTTATTATAAATATTACAGACAAGGTACACACAAAAACATAAGACCAGTAACCAATAAATTATATTCACATATAAGTGAGATGTAGAAGCTGTAGTAGAAAGTACTATGAATTCATATAATTCCCGGAGAGTCATTACATTTACCTGCAATGGGCGGGCCCACAGTCATAGGAATAGACATGAATCCGAGCAGAAATCCAATGGCTTGGGAGACATCCTGGGCACCGACTAACTCAAAGGCAATTGGAGCCATAATGGAAATGAAGCATCCATCGAAGAGGCCCATGATGAGACAGACGGCTATGAGGGCCCCAAAGACGCGACACAGGGGAATCATCATGGACATCACACCGATGAAGAGGAAGGAGAGCACCTAGGACAGACACCACACGTCAGCTCTGCCGGCAAGAGAGGAACGGCGCACTGGTTAGTCAGGCTTTCTAGTAGTGACTGCTTGGTCGCCTTCTGGCCAGTTCACCGTGATTATATAGGAGTGTATATAATACACTTCCACAGTCATCTCCCCTGAATTCCCCTAGCACTTTCTCAATATTTCCAGTATGGGACAAGAAGAAAGTCGCTACTTTTATATGCTTACTTTCCTACCAGCCTGTAAGCGCTTTGAGGTCAGAACCTGTACAAGTCATCTTTGGACTAAATATTTACAAGGTTTAAGGATCTTGTACCTGGTCAGTGCTCAATAAATATGAGTCCTTTGAATATGAGCTCAAATTCATTCATCAATCATTTGATTTTTAAAATTTTACCTTTGAAATTATACGTACTTTATTGGTATGAGTCCTTCGCAAAATGAAGATATGCCAACAAGATCAGCTCTTCACATCGTAGAGTTCCCAGTTAGGGGACTATGGTGATATAAGTTTTAGATATTTAAATAATCAATTTAGAATATATTGCCTGCTACTATTCCAAACATGATGAGCATATTCAGACCAAGTGGGAGAGATTAAAATAAGTAACTATGATTTGATATGTATTATATAAATATGTACTGAATTCTGATTCACATTCCAATTAAGTTTTGACTCTGTCATAAGAAATATATGATGTATAATATATAATGAAAACAGTAAACATAGTCTATAATAACACCTAAGAACTAATTTAGGTAATCCAATTTTATTCATAGTGTAAATCAGTATGATTATTATCATCAAAGAGTATTTTGAAACATTATGCCTTGTGGTGACATACTACAGATATACCCTACTTAAGTACCCCAGAGTTAAGGCTGAGAAATATTTTGAGACACTGAACACTCCTTTGAGTGTTAGAGTAGTTGATAGGATCAAACTACTAGGTTTGCCTGCCATTTGGTAGCTACTGAGCTATGTGAATAAGACCTGGTTCCTAATCTTGGGTTGTGGGGAAATGAACATGTAAATAAATATACGTGAAGTGTTCTAGATGTTACCATAGTTGTATATTCAAAGTACAAAAGAAGCAGACAATCACCTGAGGAGCTCCTGAAGATGCAGAGTGTGAGTGAAGATCCAGGAATGGCAGTTTTCACAACTGCCATTTCCCCAGGTGACTGTAACACAGTCACAATAAAAAAAACCATGCTCTTGAAAAATGTTTCTAACTCCAGGTTAGGGGGCCGGCTGAGTGGCTCAGTTGGTTAAGAGTTAGCTTACGAGTGTGAGCTCTGAGCAACAGGGCTGCCGGTTCGATTCTCACATGAGCCAGTGAGCTGCACTTGAGCTGAGCTGCCCCTGAGCTGCCAACAGGTGGCAGGATGGCTCAGCTGGTGAGAGCTCCTAACAACAAGGTTGCCGGTTCCATGGTGGGCTACGCCCACCTGCAACTAAGACTGAACTCAGCATCTTGAGCTGAGCTGAGCTGCCGCCCGGATGGCTCAGTGGATAGAGCGTGTGTTCTTAACAACAAGGCTGCTGGTTCGACTCCCTCATGGGATGGTGGCTACGCCCACCAACAACTAACATTGTAACATGGCACCTTGAGCTTAGAGGCCACGAGCTGCTGACGGGCAGCCAGATGGCGACTGGTGCCCTCCACAACTAAGATTGAAGAACAACAACTTGGCTGGTCCCCCTCCCCAATTCCCCAACACTGTTCCCCTCCCCCAATTCCCCAATTTAAAAAAACAAGAAACAAAAAACTCCAGGTTAGGTTTCTTTTTCACATCATCAGACCGTATAGCTGAGTATATTTTTCTTCATTACTAACATGGCTTTATGATAGAAATTATAATTAATTTAAGACTGAGTTGGCTATTTGAAAAATAAGTCTGGTACCTCACATTTTCTAAAGAACACAATCTTCCCATTCTCCTGATTTTAAATTTTTCTACTTAAATATCTTTTTCTCCAACCCAACCCAACTTCCAAGAAAGCACAACAAGCCTAATTTCTGAGTGGTGGGTAATTATTGGCTTTGCAGCCTGGTAGGTTGGAAAGAACTAAGGCTCAAGGGACCAGGTTCTAGCTCTCTATGACTCTGAGCAAGTAAAAAGACTTCTGATGCTTCCCATCCATCCACGCCAAAAGAGATCTAAAGGTAAATCAAAATGTAGAAAGTGGTTTGAAATGAACAAGTAAAGGCTTAAGGAGTTATTTATTTTTTTTATTGAAAAACTAACCAGGAAAACCCTAATATTCTCAATTATAGATACATTTTTAACTCTACCTACAAACATAAAAGGAAAGTCATTTTACTCTTAGAAACATAACTATCATCACACACTCCAGAGAATCTAGAATAAATCTTCAGGACACTATGGGGCCCGATTCAATGGCTTTAGTTAGGAAAGCCACAGACCAAACATTCCCAACCACACATTGTAATTATACTAGGTTAGCTTTCAGAAATATATTTTTTTCTTTGACTGAGCTTCCTATTCTTTTACTATCTTGTTCTCTTCCAAGATAACAGAACCAGAGTGAACTGTTGAAAGCCTAGCATACTATTTGGCACAAAGTCACTTTTGCTCAATAAACAAATGGTTTTTTTGGACTAATTTACGTAGCATGAGAACCAGGCACTTTAAGTAGTTATCCTCATTTTTCTGTCCACTTTTGGCCCCTTCAAATTTTTGTCCTTTGGTCAGTTTTGTAAGAAATCATCTACTTAAGAGTTTCAAATGTATTACTACATATTTTGAGCATATTTTTCTTAATACTTAACCTGACTGCAAGTTCTCCTTTTCTCAATTCAAACTAGTGTATTAATTTATGTTTTCTCTTTTCCCATAATTTGACAATAATTGTTAGTTTCTGTTTAAATTTATTAAATTTTAATAACAATTGTCAAATTTAAATTGTTAGCTACTTCAAAGTACAATTTCTTGGTTTTTCTTTAAGAATTGAGTTCATAGAAATGTACATATTTACTCTTTAGCATTTCTCAGAGAATAACTAGCCATTTCTCCCTTATTTGTAGCTACAGCAGTGAGAAACGACGCTCTTTCCCAGCAGGTGTCACTCCCCCAAATGCAGCTCAGTTGCGAGGAAGCAGGCCATGGTGAGGACATCCTATCCCTCACATGCCGGGAGGCTTGAGCCACAGCGAGTCCATGCCAGGGTTTAGCAAGCTGCTCATGTGGGAGGCTCAGTACTTCTTCATCATTTCCCAAGACAAATACTGATCCATATATCAAATATTGATCTGTAGACACTGGGTCACAAAGTTTGAAAGGTAAATAAATGTAGTATCACATGCAATCTTTTTTTCTTTCCTCAAACATAGCAGCTCTGGTTAGATTTAAATAAGGGATTCAAAGTTCTCTAATTCTCTTCAAGGTCTGGCACTGACATTTAATAAGGAATTGACAGTTGAGATGTCTTTCTTGCTTTTGTTTTCTTAAACCCATCCAAGGAAATATCTTCTGCCATAATATTATAGGCTCTAGAATAACCCCCTGCTTGAGTTAGTTTATGTACCTAAGAACAAAAAAAAAATTTTTTTTTTTTTGCTGTTACCTTTCCCATTTCTATCACAAAGAGAGCATTCTTGGAGAAATGTCAGTTTAACTTCTCAGGAATCTAAGTATAGTTCAAAAGGGAAAATGAGCTGCACCTGAATAAGCAGGAGGCATTTTCAGAGGCAGACACACAATTGGCCAGTTAGAGTCAAGTGTTCCTCCTATAAATGTATTCCATATAAAGTTTCCAGACTTCCGAGCCTCTGGCTGGGAACCCAGGGCACAAAGCAGTTGGCAGCAGAGATCTGCTGGTCTGTCACAAACTGAAGGGGAGTGTCCGGGCCACAGCCCAGTGGCTGGCTTCCTCTGAAGCACACAGAGGCCACAGGCCTTTTGAAGTGCTTCCCAGGGAGTCTGTTCAACTTTCCCTGTGGCACAGGAGTACCGCCATTTCTGCCTGCGGGAGGAACCGGCTGCAGTGCCCTGGCCGATGTGAGAATAGGGTCCTCACGGACTTATTCCTTATGATGGGGAACTGCTCAGTGTTTGAACACTGTTTTGGAAACAGCTTACGTTGGTAAAGCATGTACCCTTATCCCGAGGTATCTTTAGGAAGATGTAAAATGGAACGAAAAACTGGGCAACACTGATCAGTTCATTCTACCTCAGCCAGAAGAGGAAGCTGATATGAGAAGATGGAATATGAAAGCGATTAACTTTTCTAAACTATAAAAGTAACTCATGAATACCTTCTTTACAAAATTCAAACCTTGTAAAAATGTATCCAGTGATATACGACATCTTCCTTCAACCCCCTCCTGCCCTCAACCCATGCCCACTTTCCTCATCAGGAATAAACACTCAGTGGTTGCTGCATCCTCCTATGCCAGTTCTGTGCACACGCATGTTCGGGTCTGCCTGCTTTACAGAGATGGATATGATGCCCATGCTTCAGTATGCCCATGTCACACAGAAATATGACACCATGAGAAACTGATCTGAATCCAAAGATTTTGATCTTTCATTATGCAGTTATAACTTCCAGACCTTTGAAACACTCACACTTCTGAAAAGTTATGTATTAAACACACAATCTTTAAGTGAATGGTGAGTAGAAAGATAGGCCTGTGAAGAAAGGTGGTAAGCTGATACCCGAACACAGCCTTTCCTCTCGCGCTAAAGTACATACTCTGGGAACTTTTGCAAAGACTTTCTTTACATTATTATTCTGTATAATGAAGTTCAGTCGTCTCTTCAGTCAGCATTTAAAATGGTTAGGCTGAAAATGCCTGGAACCCAGGACCTTTATGGAAATTTAAATTCAGAACTCTTTAGATACTGCTAAACTCTTTGTTACCTCTGAGCAGTCTTTAGTTCAGGATAACCAAGGTCTCCTTTCTTGAGACCAGTTCCAAATCAGGATCTGCTTCAGTATTTAGTAGAATGTTAAAACATAATAAAGCAAGGACTTATTAATCACCTACTCTGGCCCGACACTGGATGTAAGCTGTCACCATGAACCCTCGCCACAGCCCTCTGCCAGGTCTGCAGACAGATGGGTGGCAGGACTGGTGTGAACTCATGTCTTACTCCAGAGCCTGTGCTTTTCCGCTCTGCGGCCTCCCAAACCCAAGATGCCCATGACCAGAAATCAGACCACGGGGGAGGCTGTGAAGTGTATTCTGTGCCCGGCTGCTCCTCAGAGCTGGCTTTAAGGGGACAGGGAGGGGAGAGAACTGTCCTAGTCCCAAAGGCTGGGATAAAACAGACGAAAGCAGGGAGCAGGTAGGTCTTGGAAAACACACCAAAGAAGGAAAGGGAAGGGAGGTAAGCAGCAGGAGCATTCCAACCCTTAAAGGCTGGGCCAGGAGGCAGACAGCCAGGGAGGGAGACGCGGAGAGAGACAGAGGAATGAGAGAACAGGCAGAGCTGGAGTTGGTCACAGCAGAGAAGAGCCAAGAATCAAAAACCGCACTGACGTTTGGGAGTTGGGGCAGGGAGGCCGGGAAAAACAAGACACAGAGCACAGAGCGATGCAAAGGAGCAAGTCCACGGGCCTGGGCTGGGCCTGTGCCCCTGCGTGTTCACAAGACGGGGCCCATCGGTGGCTCCCAGCAGCCACAGGACACACCGAAGGCCTGCCTTCTCCTTCACAGGTGTCTCTGAAATGCAGTCATGTCACCTGTGACGCAGCAGGCACTACTGGGTGCCACAGACACTGCACCACATTTGGATGGAAAAAGAAAAAACAGACCTAAAAGAAAACCTAAGAGGTTGTGACTAACCTTTCATCCAACATGAAATTACTGACTTTTAACTCACTGCTGTGTAACTGCAGACCAAACATGGGACAAGTTAGGAAAGTCTGTATTTTCTTTTGTAAATTATTAATATTAATATATGTACTATGTATTAAAATGTGCCCCCCAAAATGTTGCAAATGATCTGATTGCCCTATGTCGTGAAGGCATTTTCAAAAACTGTTTTGGAGTGAAACGCTGATGAATAAAACATACCATGACTTCATCCATTGTAGCTCCTTCGACTGGACCGCCGTCGTGTCTCACCTGGACTACTGTGCTCATCTAATGGGTCTTCCCTCCTGCACTCTTGCTTCCTTCCCAGTAATCCATCGGCCACACTCAGGGCAACCACAGTGACTTGGAAATGTAAAATCAGACCATGCTATTCTCCAACCAAGACCTACTACACTGAAGTAAAATCTCTTCATCTTGCAAGGCCCCGCCTAGCTTTCCGACCTTTTACCAGGCCACTCTCCCTGTCTTCTTGAGTTCCCAAACATGCCCAGCTTTTTCCTGCCTCGAGTCTTGCTACAGGACGCAGGGACCATGTCTGCCTGGTTGGTATCACCCCACCAGGGTCTAGGCACGTGCGTACTTGGGTCCCAGGAAGCACTCAGAATTTTTTGAATGAATGAAAGGAAACTCAAAAGTCTGTAAGGCAACAAATGTCCATTAGAGGGCTCCCTTGACACTTGAGAACAAGACCAAATGGTTTGCTAACCGTTTGACAAGGATATCCATAGGCATTAATAAAAGGGGCAGTGATCATAGTACAGTAAATACTTTAAAGCAGCACTCTCCAGCTGTCTACGCTTCCTCCTAGTTGTATGCCCAGACTCCCTGCAGCTGTTTTCCTGGACATACATACACACACAGTGAGATGGCCGTAGCCTGTCTGTCCCTCAGTGTTTGCATCTGTAAGTGCAAATAATGACCGACAGTACCTTCCTCAAAGTGTTGGCGTGAGGAGTAAAGGAGCTACGGCACGTAGAGCACTGTTCATTGTCTGGCATGCGGAAGAGCTCAGAAGATGGTGCTCGTTACTACTTCACGTCAATCAAAGCAAGTTATTGTGTGTGTTATGTGCCATTGAGTCAGCTGAGACTCCTGGCCACCCTGTGAATAGTGACGTCCACAGTGTCCTGTCCTCACAGCCCTGCTCAGCTCCTGTAGACTCACACCTATGGCTTCTTATATGGAGTCATTCCACCTCATGTTTGGTCTTCCTCTCTTCCTGCTGCCTTCTATTTCTCCCAGCACTGTTGTCTTTCCCAAAGAACCCTGCCTTCCCATGATGTGCCTGAAGGGAGGACAGCTTCAGTTATGTCACTTTTGCCTCCACCGATGTTTCAGGCTTAATCTGCATTACGATCCACTTGTTCCTCTTCCTGGTGGTCCAGGGTTTCCGTAGAGCTCTCCTCCAACACTGTATTTCAATGAATCGGCTTTTTTCCTATCAGCCTCCTTCAACTGTCCAACTTCACTTCTGTACAGAGTAAGTTACTTTGTAATTAATGCCTTTTCCAACCATCTTCCTGTGCCCACAGTCCACCTCTCCTTCAAGGCCCTGGTCCAGGGCCGCCACCCCTCCACACAGTGAGGAGACACGTCAGGCCCCCAGGCCCTAGCCCCGCTTTGGCTCTCCTTTATCTTCCTTCCACAGCCAAGCTTTTGGGCAAAGCCGTCCATGTTTTCATTTACTCAGCTGATCACAGTCAGTCTCTTGCACCTGCCACTCCGTTGAAATGATTTCTATTGCTGAGACCAATGAAAACCTTTCAGTCTTTACCATGCCGGCTGTCTCACTGCTACTGACACTTCTGACCACTCCTGCCCGGGGACCGCTCTGTGCCCTGCTTTTCCCCTACTGATCTGGCCACTTCCTTTGGGCCTCCACTCCTGGTCCAGTCCTGGTCCTCCACTCACCCCACACAGCCCATGAATCCCACTCCCTCAGGTCTCTTTTCCAGAGTCTCTCAGGAGCTTCACACGCACCCCGGCTTTCCCACAAGCACCACAGACTTAGCATGGCAAAAATGAGCTCATCATCTTACGTCAATTGACTGAATTACTGATCTTGACAAAACAGAAAAACCATCCGCTCTGTTATCCAAGCATAAATCTCACACCCCGCTTGGGTGGCTCCATCAACCTCTCATTCCCTGCATCCCTGTTTTACTCCCTGTTTGATTCCAATAACTCTTCCTTGCTTCCTCCTGCCTAGAGGACTCCAATAGTCTCCAACTGGTCCCACTGTCTCCACTCTTTTTTTTTTTTTAATAACAGCTTTATTGAGATATAAATTCACATACCATAAAATTCACCCATTGAAAGTGGATAATTCAGTGGGTTTCAGTTCATGAACAAGGTTGTACAACTATCACTACTGTCTAATTTTGGAATATTTATATCACCCCAAAACGAAACCCCATATCCAGTAGCAATCACCCCCATTCCCTCCCCCCTCCACCCCTGGAAACCACTAACCTACTTTCTGTCTCTTGGAGCTCCCTAATCTGGACACCTCACAGAAATGGAACCTTCAATATGTGGCCTTTTGGGGCTATCTCAACTCTTACCCCCTCTCCACCTCATTCCACCCTTCATAGTTACTAGGTTAACTTTATAAAATACAACCCATGTCATAGTACTCCCTGACTTAAAATCCTTGAATGGCTCCTGGTAGGTTTCAGGATAGAGTTCATCCTCTTTTGTGTTTATAAAGGCCCTTCCCAACCTGGCTCCTGCCTTATCACCCCAGCCAATCAATCTGTTCTCTCTTTGTTCCATTCAAACATTCCATTTCCCGGACATAAGATACTCTGTCACGCCTCTACCTCTCTGCCCATGTGGTCTCCTCTGCTGGAACACCTTCCTCTGTCTTCCAGTCTATCTAACTACTACTCACCTCTTACCACTCTGCCAGCCCAGGAGGTCTGCTCATCTCCTCACTAGGGATTCAGATGCTTGGTGCCTATGTTGCCATGGCACCCAGCTAGCATAACCATTATTCCACTGTTTCAACATGAGACCATTAACTACTGATTGAGAGCACAGGTCATGTTTCATCTGCAGCATTTAACACAGTGTCTGGCATGGAGGAGTCACTTAAATACTTATCAAATGAGGTCCAAAAGATCTTAGAAGAAGCATTTGTTTAGTGTGTACCCCACAACACCCAGGAGGCAATTTGCAATAAAGAAGCTCAGAAAGACACGCACACACACCCTGAGTTCCACAGATATTGCAAAGGCACATGACTATGAGAACTATGCCAAAGCCAAAACATTCTTCTCAGAAAAAGCAATAGGCGGGGCCAGCTGAGTGGCATGTTGATTACGAGTTGGCTTTGGATGCCAGCTCTGAGCAGCAGGACCCCAGTTCGGATCCCACATGAGGGCCAGTGACACTGCGCCCTCTACAGCTAAGATGGTAAACAACAACTCGACCTTGAGCTGGGCTGCCATGAGTCGCCGGCAACGGCGTAGGCTGCAGGAGGGCGGCAGTGGGCTGCCGTGAGCTACCGTGAGTGGCCATCCAATGGCCAGTGACCGATCTGCCTCAGCCGGGAAGAGCCCAGTGATCACAATACCAACATGGGCCAGTGAAGCAATGTCCTCCACAACTAGACTGAAGAACAAAACAGCAATTTGTCTACCTGTCTGTTCTCCTTCCCCGATTCCCCAACGCTGTTTCCCTCCAATTCCCCAATAAAATCTTTAGAAAAAAAAAAAAAGAAAAGAAAAAGCAACAGGCAAAAAACATTTTGGTTTGGTGGAGTTCCATGACAAAACAAAGAAGATTGTTGTTGGAGGGCCAATTTTTCAGGAGAAAACCCAAAACTCACAACTGATCTTGACCTCAAAAAACTGCTTGCAGAAGTTAGGTTCTAGAAAATATTTCTCACATTTACAGACTCATATAAGGAGCCTTTAGACAATAATAACTTTGCGGAGGGTGGGGCGGGGGGAAGGCTTAAGGAAGTACCTGTAGATAAACCTTCTTCACGCCAGGCACATAGTCTGCAATCCGGCCAAAGAGCAGCCGTCCAACTCCTGAGGTGATGCCAAGGCACATGAGAAGCACCTCTTTATTGTTTTCATCTTGAAACTTCTCATTCACATATTTCATCTGTAGACCAAAGAGAGAGAAGCCCCACTGAATATGGTAGGAACACTTGACAAGTTTCGAGGCTGTGTGCCTTTCAGTTTCTACAATGTTATGGACTCCCTTCCCAATGCAAATATTTATAAAATGGGCTCTGTGAGAACATATGAAAAAAAGTTAACAGGATTTAGCTTGCATGAAAGAAAGAAGAATTTTTACACAAGGTCTTTCTTTATTTTTAATAAAGAGCTACCCACACACACTTTAGAAGTTGACATCAAGCCACTAGCTAAAGGAAGAGAACAGAAATTTGAACCCACCACACAACCTTGCTCCCTCAAGGTTACCCAAGGATCCAGCACATTATCTCCTCCCCTGTAAGGTGGTTTAAGGATCCATTCTGGAGTTTCATCTCTTCTAGAAGGGCATGAACCAAACTGACAGCCCTGAATAAGTTGTACTGGAGCTTCCAGGATAAACACATGGGTTCTCCGTGAATTTGCCCATTTGTATGATGTCAGAATAGATAAAGATGCAAAGTCAGTTTAACATAGTAGTTAACAGAAAAGCCCCTAGAGAGACTGCTTGAGTTCCAGTCCTGGTTCCATCCCTTATCAGCCTATGACCCTGACCCTGGGTTAAGTTCTTAACTTCTAGTGCCTCACTTTCCTTGTTGGTAAATGGAGATAGCAATAGTATTGCAAGAGAGTAATTGTGAGGATTAAATATCTGTATAAAGAGCTTAGAAGAATGCCTGACACCGTTAATAATGATCAGATATTAATATTAGCCTATTTTTTAAAGGGGCCTTTTCCTGGCCGGTCGAGTGGCGCGATGGTTAAGAACTCGCTTGGGATGCCAGAGGGCCTCGGTTCAGATCCCACATATGAGGGCCGGTGACACTGCCCTCCGCAGCTAGGATGCTGAACGACAGTTTAACCTGGAGCTGGGCTGCCATGAGT